AGCGAAAAAAATAAATAAATTTGATTTCCTACTGACATTGCGGAATTGAATCGATGGGATGAGAGAGATGATAAACAAAGATTCAAAATACATATATTTGCAATTTTAAATTGAATATTTAAATTGAAATATTTTTGGTGAAGTTGTCAAAGGAAAATTTGAAAGTAATTTTGATATAAAATTAATTAGATCTTCGAAAATACTTTTGAAGAAATTAAATTAAATTTTTTAAAATACTTAAATTAAAATATTTCAAATTCTTTAATAAATTTAATTTTCAAAATACATATATTTGCAATTTAAATTAAATATATAAATTTAAATATTTTTGGCTAAGTTGTCAAAGGATATTTTAAAAATATTTTTGAAAAATAAAAAATAAGTTATAATTTTAAAAATACTGTTGAAAAAAATTAAAAGAAATACTTAAATAAAATTAAAATATTTAAAATTCTTTGCATAAATGTAAAATTGTCTCCATCATTTAATAGCCCATCGGTCTTAACAGTCTCACCTAATTGAGTTATTACAAAAACCTATAACCTCCTACCCTCCCAAGCTTACACTAATTGACCCCTAAATGCAACTCCAACATAAATTTTGCCACACTTAAAAATAATAACTTGTTAATTTGCATTACAGTTTTTTGTGCAATTGCAAATGTTGTTCACATTGAACCCCCCCTTGAGGAAATAACAAAAACACAACAACAACATTTTGTTGTTGACGAGTTCAAAAAGCTATAATTAAAACATGTTAAAATGCAAGGCAATTTATGTTTACACGGAGCCGCCTTTTGTTGACCCACATGTGTTTTCTGAGCGAATAATAAAAAGAGGCACGGACAGCAGACACACAGACAGGCAAGCAAACAGTTAGTCAGGCAGGCGATCAGAGGGGCTAACAATAGTTTTTTTTTTTTTTGCCATGCAATTTTTTTTTCTGCTGAGTGCACCAACATACATATTTTACAAATTAATTATGCTTCTATTAAAAAAAAAAAACAAAACAGAAATCAAATGTGAGAGAGAGAAGCGGGGAGTCGAGAAGCTGAACAAGAAAAATAGACGCAACCACATAAATACTCATGCACTTCAGTTGGGATTTTGTTGTTGTTTTTTTATAAAACTGCCAATGAAGTGTTACTGTGTCACCCCAGTCAGTCAGTGAGTTCATAACAAACCAACACATTGACACACTCACACACACCTCGCGTAAGCCACTGCCTCTGACACAATTCATTTTTTTTTTTTTGCACAAAATTTTCAGTACCATGAAGTGTGACCAATATTCTCTGCCGACCTGCCTGCCAGTCAGTCGTCATTCACTCGCAACGAACACCCAGTTAGTCAGTCAGTCAGCAATTTTGTACTCAGCAGTTTTCATGACTTTGTCAAATATTACGCGAAAATGTGTCAAATGTTAGTCCGTGCCATGGGACAGAATTCCGAAAATTAATGTTGATACTTGCTGTGTTGTGTGTTGCGGCGCAATATGGTTACCCTTTGTAAGGGTAAGGGCAGAACAGTAATCTCCGAAGTGACCTAGTTGTTTATTTTGAGATTTTGTTTTTGTGTTATCTATATAAAAAATTAAATGTGAATTTGTTTAGGGGAATATTGGAAATTGTTCTAGAATCGGATTGCTATTCGATAGGGGATTCTCATACATACGACATGTTCGAGGACTACATGGATATTCAATATTGTACATTCTTGTGGAAAATTTACCGGATCTCACATGTTTCTATTAAAAATCTGTTAATTACACATTTTTCAATAGAAAATTTGGCTGAAGCTAGAATCTTGGAATTTTGGACGAAAGTACTAAATGTTGTATGTGTATCAGTGTCTTTGTTATTCTCTCGAATATATTCCTCCAAAAAAAGAAACAAAAAACACGACCATTCACTGGTCGGCTGTGTTTTGTTTTGACATCGGCAATTCTTCTCTCCCCTCAATTAGTGGTTGTTAGTTTTGTAACAGTGTGTGTTGGACTATTGTTCCTCTCGCTAACAAACTCCGTCTCTCCACTAACTCGGTTGCGGTTAGTTTAGCATCTCATTGTTTGTATATTTCATTATAATTCTCATATGTATTTTCCAAATTATTTCGATATAAATACCAGATATAAAATGTCAAGCAAATGTTGATACGAGCAACTTGACATACCGATTGTTTCAATTGTGACTTAATATAGAACAGAGATAATTTTTACAATTAAATATCGTGCCTACAATATTCTTTCCTTTTGTAACTAAAAGTAAAATAGAGATAATATGTTTGTCCTTTCTACCATCCTTCTGAAACGACATCTAGTGGGCAAAAATGGTACAGATAAGATTGCTTTTAATCCTTAAATGAGTCCATATTTTAAAAAATTTTGACGTTTAGGGTAATTATTGAGTTTTGGGGTTTTCTGAGGCTTAAAGTAAAAAATGTATTCCTCGCATTTATATTAGTAATATTGTCAAAGACACCATATACCTAATATGTAAGGAATTCGAGAAATGTTAATACGAATATTTTCAAATGTATTGGAAATGGGAATTATTGCCACTCCTTTTTAGGTTACCTCCAGACGTAAACTTTCAAAATGCCCATAGACGTCTTTCTTCTATTTTTAGCTCCTCTATAGCCCCCCTTACTTATGAAGTGAAATAATTTTAAATAAATAACCCGTAACTTAATACCAATATTTTCCCCGATCCCATAAATATATAATTATTTATAAATTATACCCTACACAACTATGTCGTCAGGATTTTATAGCTTTGTGCAGCTCCAGAAGTTTTACTGATCGTCATATATCGACCAGCTGAGTCGATCTAGACATGTGTGTCCGTCCGTCTGCTCATTTCAATTTGTAAACACGATACAGGCTACAGTTATAGACCAATCGTCATACAATTTTGCATGTAGGAGGGGTTCTAGCCAAAGAAGACCCCTATTGTTTTTGATAATGATCCGTTAATATTTATTTATATGGACAACAAACTTTATTTTTGTCTGTTTTTCTGGTCGCTTTAGAGACCACAATTATGACCTAAACACCACGAAATTTTACACCAGAAAGAGAATCTGGCCATAGAATAAGCATGACTGTTTTCCTGAAGATCAGTCAATGTTTAGCGTGTAAAATGGACCCTGACGTTTGTGTGAAAAATGACAAATTTTGTATTCTATGGCGTATATTTTTACTCCTGAAGGACATAGACCCGAGAATTTGATAATATATCCTAGAGGAGTGGTTATCCTTTAAATTGTTACCAATAATATTGTTGCATGTAATCGGATGTAGAAGTTATACGTAAATATTGATAAGTGTTTATGTGTTATGATATTGTTTGGTATTTTTTGAAATTTTACATGAATTTCCCGGTTATGGTCTAGGACCATAATTTAGGGGTTGCAATGAACCGAAAACTTTTCTAGTTGCTCTAGAAGCCATTATTATATTCAGAACGTCATATACATTTTACACGATGAAGGGGATCTGACAAATACTTAGAACGGCTGTTTAGATGATGATCGGCCAACATTCCGAGAATCATCATATTCGCCTCGCAAAACAAGATTTGGAAAATATGTCAGGATTAGAAAGTGGAGCTGTTGACCTATAAGCAAATAGCAAATGAGTGCAAATATCGCGAAATATTGCCCAGGCTCAGAAAATATAAAAGCAAAAAGTTAGACTTTCGTCGAAGTTTTGTAAGGTATCATATGGTCGGCCCCGACCAACTATATTTCTCCGCTCGATGGTTATTTTTTTGTGTTGTGCGATGTTATTTTGATGTGTAATAATTTTCAATAAATAACCCGTAATTTAGTAACAATAATTTTCTCGATCCGATAAAGGTATAATTATTTATTAACTCTATTTGTGAACTATTTAGTGGCTTATCTGTAACTAAACCATAATAGGCTTAATAAAAAAAATTACGGGTACTTTGAGGGTCAGATTTTTAGTTATTGGTATAATCGAATTCCTCTTCAAACATAAACGAATTCCTTTTCAAAATAAGTGTTTATTTAGAATCGCTGTTATCGACTGATAAAATATATAGGGCGACCCTATACGTTAATAACTCTTCATTGTCCAGAGGATGGGTGTTCTTGTTCTCTTCGCTATATACGGAGACTACTTGATCGAACGAAAAAATATTCATGCCTTTAAATAATATTATCACACATTTTTCACCACTCAAACTCCCCCTATATTTCTTTCATCTTCTTTTACCCCGAACTTATTAATAATAAATTTTCATTCATTTTTCTCTTTTCATTTCAGATAATTAAAATCAAATTTCATAGAAAAGAATCAGAAGCACACAAAAGAAAACGCATTTTATTTATTTATGTATGGGTGTGTGGGCCGATGAAAAGCAGCAAAATGTTTACACAACGAAAACAAGTGGCATGCGTTTCTGCAACGGCTATTAAATAATAAAACGACGGAAGGAAAAAAGGTAGCCGGCAACAAATACAACTGCAACAACAACCCACAACACCAAGTCCCTCTATCATCAGAAAAACAAAACAAACGAAAAGAAGAAGAACAAGAACGATTACAACACTGATTGTTAATTTGTAAACAATCGCCAAGCACCTCCCCACGATAATTCCCCCTTCGTTCATAAAATTGAATTGCAACATAAAAGAAAATCTAATAAGGAAGAGTAGAATTCAAAGAAAGAAAAAACTCATTGACTGCTCCCTGGTAAATTGAAAAAATTGAATACTTAGGGAGAATTTTTTTTCTAAAAAGCCGAACAGGAAAAAAAGGAAACATTTCTATTTCGCCAAACAACGACTGATTTGTATTGAACAGAGAACTGAAGTTTTTTTATATATTCACACTTCATTAAGGAGTTTTTTGTAAACAAAAACAACAATTGCTAATCAATAAACCATAAACATTTTGAGAAGAAGAAACGAAATATTAAAAACCCAACAACAACAACAAGAACAAGAAGTTTTTTACAACTTCATAAAAAAAAGAAAAACCATAAAACAATTTTCTTCTCCCCCCACGTTGCCATAAAAAACATTCAAAATTACGACGTATCACCCACCCACACCCAAAGTCAAACAAAACCCGGCCAATATGGACAGTGGTTCCGGGCCGGGATTTGACGATGAACCACCGCCAGAGCCACGGGACGGTTGGCTGCTGGTGCGCATCCACGTACCAGAGCTCAACGTCTACAAATGCCTGCAATTTCCCTCGGATAAATTGGTCTGGGATGTCAAACAACAAGTATTAGCCTCATTACCAAAGGTATGTAATAATTTTTCCTACTACTAATACTTCTAAGTTTTTAGATATTTAATTTAGCCATAGCATATTTTAATTTTAGGTGCATCCATTGATCTGCAAAACCCAAACATGAAAAAAATGTGTAAATAAATTGAAATTGTTTGGGATTTGTTTGTTTTCTGTTCGATATATTTTTTCTTTGTTTGATTTGAGATTTTTTTGTTTGACAGCATATCCATAACTGTACAAAATAAAAATCCATTTTATTCCCATATGCATTTTGTTTAGATTTGTAAATAATTTTTTGTTTTTCCTGCTCGTCATCTCCAGTTTTGGGAATTATGATTTTTTGTTTCTTTTATTTGTTTTTTCAAGATTGGATGAATATTTCTTTCCCTGTATTTATATTTGTGTTGTAAGGTTTTTTTCAAATTAAATAAGTAATCTGTTTATAGGATTTCAATAAATAAACTTAATGCAAATTGGAAGCATTATACAATATTGAATAAAGAACTAATGCATATTTATACATTTGATGCAATAAATTCAATTAAAAATGTCAATGGTGATAGTTATATATTATTAAATGAAATATAATTAAAGAAAGATGCAAAACAAGGACAATAATCTATAAGACAGCATTAAGAAAATTTTGAAAAAGGAATTTTCTATATTATTACACTGTGCAACACAAAAAATAATTATGGGAAAATTCCAAAAACTATGATAGAAGACACATGTATCGGCATTCTGAAAGTTTACGTCCGGACTTGACCTATAAAGATGTGACAATAATAATTGCATTTCCAAGACATTTGAAATTTATACGGATTAAGATTTCTCGAAATCCTTGCATTGTAGGCATATGGTATCTTTGGAAATATTACAGATTTTTTTTCTGATACATCAAACCACAGCCGATTCTCTGATGAGGTCCCTTTTTCCATAAAATTATTGAAAACTCATTTAAAACTGAATTATAGCAACTGAGAATATTTTTTGCAATATGTTTCTCCATAAATTTTTGCTATAAGTCTCAGAATATATCAAAACTCGAAATTAGCTTAAACGTCAAAAATCTTAAAAAATATAAAAAATCAATTTGGGGTTAAAACCGATATTATTCCGAGTTTGTACGAATTTTGCCCACTAGATATCGTTTTATAAGGATGGTATAAAAGACAAAAGTATTCTTCATCAATTGCTAGTATAAGTCACAGAACAAGAAAAATCGGTATATATAATAAATATGTATCGAATATATGACCTGAAAATGATGGCAATATTTCCAATAACCAAGATATTTTTAGGAAATATTCGAATTATGATTTCTCGAAATCCTTGTATTTTAGGTATATGGTGTCAATATTACTGATATAAATGAGAGGAATATTTTTGTCTAATACGATTATCGTCAATCGACTCTCTGAAAAACTCATTTAAAACGCTATTATATCAAGTCAGATTATTCTACAAAAAGTTTTACTATAAGCCTAAGAATAGAGCAAATTTCGAAAATCAGACTACGCCAACGTCAAAAATCTAAAAAATATGAAAACTCATTTCAGCCAATTTCCACCACTAGATGTCGCTTTACAAGGATGATATGAAGGACAAAAATATTCTCCAAATTTTAGTATAAGTCACTGAACAAGAGACGTCAATTTGGGAAAAAAATCTAAAAATATTAGCAATTTTTTACATAGCAAATAGTATGAAAGTTTGTACAAATTTCTTCGACTAGATGTCGTTTTAGAAGGATGGTATAAAGGACAAAAATATTCTCCATCAAATTTTAGTATAAGTCAGAGAACAAAAGAAATCGGAAATTGTAATGTATATATGCCGAATATATAGAGTCAATTTAGGACAAAAAAATGAAAAAAATATTAAATTTTATAAGAAAGGTTCCCAGTTCTTTTTTCAATAAATTGTATGAAAGTAACATGAAACTTTATTTTTCGTGCATACTGTCAAGGAATGGAATATTCAACATAAAAAATCATTATGAGTCTCAAAACAATCTATACATTAAAATTCAATATATTTTTCATCAGTTTTTGGCAAAACAAGTAATGTGGTGACTTTTCCACTTGACTGATGTCTTCGAAGAAATTCGAAAAATAACCATGACAATAGTGAGCTCTGAAGCATATACAGAACCAAATATTTCGTAGATTATATGAATAGTATTCAGAATGTGTTGCCAATGTTCGGATTTCTGTATTTTATGAATACAATTCATAAAACATTAAATATTGATTTTCTGTCAGAGAGAGCCAAAAAATAACTTTGGAGTGTGTTTGGTAGTGGTGGCAGATTTTCTATGACACCAGAACTATTTGTGATTTTGATTTTGTTTTCCTCCTCTTCTTCTTTAAATCTGATCTACCTTACACATGTTCTTATCCTGAACGACCATTGAACGATCATATACAATGTTAAACATTCGTTTGGGAGTGTTGCTCGCATAAACACTTGTTTTTTGATATATTATATTTGCATTTGGAAAATACATATGCGAATTATGTGTATAGAAACAGTGTCTAAAATACAGAAATAATGGAATGCAATACTTATCACACAACCGAGTGGGAAAGGAGACGGCGGTTTTTAGCAAAAGATATAGCTGTCAATCAAAGTAGGGAAATAATTTTGATATTAAAGAAATATCAACGTTTTTTTTTTAATAGTGGCTTTCTCATGATTACAAGATTTTTTACATGTTTAGAATACGAAGTACGTCTAAAATATGGAAAAAATAAACTACAAATGATAGATTTTAGGTACATATTTTGATAGATTATTTTATTATTCCTAATTTTAAACGCAGTTATTTTCGAGACAAAATAACCCTTGCAAAAGTATTCTGTTTTATTTATTTATACCTCAGTCTTATCAATACATCTTGGCCCGAAATCATAAAATGTTATTTCCTTCTGAGGAGCTTTCTGCCAATGGAACTCCATACAACTTCTTCTGTTTGCAAAAAGACTTCGTTATTATTTATTTTTAATTAAAAAAACTTGTTTCTGATACTCAGTCAATCTAATATCACTGACTAATGTTAATCACTGCCATAAACTTCCTACGTTCTTTATAAATTTCATGCATCTATCTTGTAACAATTAACCATAAGTTCATGTTAATTAATGTGGATTTGAACAAGAAATTGCTAGTGTAGTTTTTGTTCGGAGTTTTTTTCTAATTATTAAATCAAATACAACAAATCCACTTTGTAATTTAAATTCAATTAGACACGCGGGTGTTCTCTCCACAGAACTTGTTTCCCACTGCGAATAGGAAAAAAATAATGTGTGGCACAAGAAAAAACAGCAAAGTTATTAAAACATAAACTACAATTGTTGAAATTAATTACAAATTTAATTTGTAAAACTGCCGAAGGAAAACAAAAACAATAAAAATTAATTCATTAATTGAGACGTGGTGGGAATGTTAGGTTATGGGGTTAATTAAAACATTGGATGTGATTAATTGATAGATGAAGAAAAAAACTATTTAAATATTTTAATTTACTTGGAAAGAATCCAAAACAAATCCCATTTCTAGATTTTATGTGTTTGCTATTTTTAACGTCCTTGACCTTTCCATACCCCTACCTCGTTTGAACAACAAAGTATTGGCATCTTACACCAACACGGCACTTGAATAAAAATAAATAAACCCCATTACCACCAGTTCAAGTTTATGAATGAACTGTGGCGGTTAACTTTACTTTAACGGAAGTTCAAAACAAAATATAAATTTCAATATCTCAAACCCACTGCTCTCCAGTTAGCAGCAGTAAAGTAACGGCGGCCACTTCTTGAACAATAAAGTAGCCGAATGAAATGACAGATCGCTCAATGATTAATGGCAATTTGATGGATTGTGGCCATTTGTCCATTTGTAAAGAGGTTTGTGAGTTGTTGAGTTGATGCTTTGACGTAAACGCTGAGAGAAGGAAAATGAGTAAGGAGTTCATAAATGAATTCAAAAGAAGGTGGTTTGGTGATTCTGGAATCACTTTGAATAATGAAATTTCAATAATTTTTTTCTTCGAGTGTATAATCATTGCTGTTAATTTGATCATAAAAAAATTACACTGTGATGGCCGTAACTTTCGTAAAGAGTGTTTTTTTTTTTCTTTTACAAAAGTCAAATTCTTTCATTGAAACATACATACATTTCTACCAAATATTTGTAGTTTTAAAACAGTGTATGTTCGTATGTATTCCTCTTTTCTAAAGCCCCACATGTCTGTATGTATGCCATCATAATAAGACGTGATTTTTTTCTAAACATTCTACACGTCGAAAATACCAGTAATCTGTGCGTATTTTTTTCTTCTGTGACTTTGAAATGCGTGGGTTGACCGACCGTCTGTCAGACCAGTCTGTACTTTATCGCGGACTTTTGGAAAAAAAGAAATCTTTTTTTAATGTAAAGGTTGTTGGTGGACGGTTTAATGGATGTGGGGACACACTCATGTGCTGGTATTAGGTGGAAGTAAATTAAAAAAAAATAAATTTAAAATAAACAAAAAATATGTTGCTAAGGCGGAATATGGGAAGAAAGTGACTATGTCACATGTAAAAAAATAAAATAAAGAAATTAACTATACTTAAATATTAAAATATAATAAGTTTGTGATTCCTAAAAATGTCAAGTTAATTTTCATAACATGGAATTGCAATCAGAATATTTTTCCCAGGGAATATCAGAGGTATATGTGTGTATTTTTCCAATAACATTATCCGCAGACGCTATTACAGCTGCAACTGTGATTTTTTAAAGTATTTTCAATGACTTTTTCAAGCTAAAAACATTAATTTTTAGAAAATGTTTTTATCAAGCTCAGTAAAAGCTTTGGTAATAGAGTTTTTAATAATATGTATTTAAGGGATATTAGTGCCATAAACTTTGATTTTTAAAACGATATCAATGCTTTAAACGTGGAGTTTTTAAATAATCTTTTCTAAGCACTATCAAAGCTTTCAATGTGGATTTTTTAATTAATA